CTGTTTGCACGCATGACCGCCAATCCATTGGGCGAGAAGGCGTATATAGCTAGCGCACTGGTCGGGCTGGGAATATTATACGGCGCCTTCATACTGTTCAGAAGTCGTGCAATGGGCTCCGACGTGAACACGGAGCCGAGTCGGATGCCCGCCATGCCGAATCCCTTGGATGACGTCTGCATGACGGCGAGGTTCGGCCATTCTGCAACCCACTCGGCGAGCGAGGCATCCTCGGGCGAGAAGTCGACGTATGCCTCATCGACGATAACCACGCCGTTCCACGTCGGGTGTTCTAGCAGCTGCCGTATGTCCTCTTTGGCGAGCGGAGCGCCCGTCGGGTTTCCGGGTGAGCAGAGGTACAGTAACTTGATATTCGGCTCATTGGACAGTGTTGCCTTTATATTGTTGACGTCGAGGGCAAATGACGGGGCAGACAGCAGCGGGACTTTGACTAGGCCTACGTCATTCACCTGCGCTGACACCGAGTACATGCCATAGGTAGGCGGGCAGACTAGGATCCTGTCCCGGCCGGGGACGCAGAAGCACCGCATGAGGGCATCGATGGCCTCATCACTGCCGACACCAACGAACAAGTTGTCGGGGGTGATCTTCTTGTTCGTGTGGTGGTGGGTGTTGCGCAGATTACACAGCAGCTGCTTCAGCTCCCGCTGGTGGGGATCCGGATATCTGTGCAGGCCCACGAAGTCAAGCTCGGGCCCTGGCGATGCGGGCGACGAGGAGGCGGCGGCGGCAGCGGTCAAGGACGGCCCGTAGGCGTTCTCGTTTGCATCCAACAAGATGTTTGTGCCGTCATCCTTGTAATCGCTAGAGTGAGGCCGTCAGCACCGGAAAGCAACATGGATTCAGGACATCTCACTCTCTCGCACACCGGTACGGCTCGAGCGCCAAGACGTTGGGCCTCGCACAGGTCTCGAGGTTGAAGGCCGACATGGCGAGCGAGTCGATGTGATGGGGATGATTATGAGACGCCTCTTCTGCCCCAACTGCTCGCGAGGTTCGTGCCTATCCACGAGATCAAGTACCCCGATACAATTTACTATTGGCTCTCGATAGAGTGTCTGAATGTAGGTACCTGAGTCAGAGGTGGCATGGCATGGCACCAGCAGTGACCTAATGACCTAACGCGACTGTGTGGGGCTCCGGGACCGGGAGTCGGGACAGTGGAAAATTCAATGGATGCGTCCGGGCCAGGTACCTAACCTAAGTTAGGTGTAGGTACTTTCTGCAGGTACCGTTGAAGTGACGGGCCTCTGAATCACCTGCTGAAGAAGTCGCATAAACGTTACCTCAGGGCAATAATATATAGCACCACCTATCTGGGCAGGGCATCACATCGCATCGCACCGCAGGTTCATCGCGCTCGCCTTTCCAAAATCCGACAATCTATTTGCGCCCCGGAAGTATGCTAGTACCAACTTCTACTGCTCCAGTGTGATAAATCAGAAATCTGATAGTATCCTAGTAGCACCCGCCATCTATGATGCGTCGAGATTATTGAGGCCTAACCACAGTCGCTACGCGCTTCCGCCTCCAGATCGCCATACTTACAGACGAAAGATCAAAACCAAAGTCAGAAATACCAAGAGACCTTGCCTTAAACTGGCCATAGCAGCCTGAGCACTGGAGTCTGGTTGCTGAGTGGTTGACGGCAAGGCTGTGGTGGTTGCTGAAGTCGTGGTCGACGGTGTGGGCGTGATAGATGGTGTAGTCACGGGACTCTGCGGCGGCACGCTTGATGGCTCTCCGCCTGTTACTCCGCCTTTGCCCTTGACATGTCTGATCTCACCAAATCTGAGAGGCGGCTGCGCATCAAAACCAAGGAGCGCCTGTACGGTTTCGAGGGCCGTCATTTGCTGTCCGAGCCCAGGATTTTCATCATAGCCTCCGACATACCTGTCAGATACTCTGAGTCAGTAAGATCCTCGCCATCATTTTGATCTTCTCCCCATATCAACACAGTCGGGGTAGAACGGCCAAGAACACCCCCATTAAGGGGGAAACGGCATTAGATAAAATATGAAAAGTAGACGGGACCGCGTACCATTTCTCTCCGCAAACGGTGCCGTTTCCTCCACCGGAACAGGCCTTCCCTACTGCCATAGCAGAGGTGCCCAGCAATTCCCGGACATGATGGCGCGTCGAAGGCATCATCTGTGTCGTTGCGCTCATGAAGCGAGAAACTACAGCACCTGTAGTCAGTAATGGCCGTGCTAGGCGTGCCCTAGAGATTCTCTGGCGCGCGAAAAAAGATCCTACGCCATAAATCCTATCCTAGCCGGGATCCTCTTAAATATATCGAAACAAGGAGAAATCAACTTACGATAGCCCTTGAAAGACTTCATATCCGTGTTACACGTGCCATACTCTTCACAGGCAGGCTCAAACATGACATTCGTCGCGTTCGGAAACGGGCCAAAGTACTGCTGAGCAGCCTGCAGGAGGCCATTCACACGGCCGGCCCAGGTTGGATCTCCATCGGTGTAATTGAAGAGCACCGCTGCTCCGTACATATAGATACCCTGCGAGTAGGAGAAGCGTAGCGGGTTGGTGTCCCGGCAGTCCTTGGCCGAGCTAGCGCCATCCTGAACATTGAAATCCTCGTCGATGAAGCCGACATTTCGCGACCAGTCCCATACCCTTTCCGCCCACCGGAGATACGTCTCGTTCCCAGTTGCCCGCGCCAACCGCGCGGATACCTGGAAGAACCCGCCGTTGGATACCGCGTTCTTGTAATCGAGGCCGTTCGGGTTGCCGGCGAATATCTGCCAGTGCAGGCCGCCGCCGCAGGTCGTATCGTCCCACCTGGCGACGAGGCTATTCCATATATTCTCCGCCACCTTCAGCCAAGGGGGTATTGAGTCGTCGGGCTGCGGAAAGTTGCGCTCGGCCGCTTCCAGGATAGAGAAGGCCCAGAAAGATTGGTCGTCGTTGCCTTCAGACCCGGCATACCGCGGATCCATGAAATCGAAATTTGGCCCGACCTGGCTTAGCAAGGCTCTGTGCGAGTAGAATTGTTAGAGTTCACTCCTTTAGGAGTAAGATATAGACCTATCCCGGAGAGGGGGGGGGGGGGGGGGGGGGGGTTAGGATTGCGCGGGCACGACCACTTGAGACTGCGTACTGGGTTATTACATTATCATAGCTAGGGTCACCTGTATAGTGCGAATAGTCCATCATAGCACCCCAACAAGCGCCAGCTTGCCACCAGTCTATTCCAGCCGGAATCAGCGAGGCCGCGTTTTCCTGTGTGCTGGGAGATGACGTGACTTCTTACAGTGAGGTTGCGGAAAGATAGCGATTGTCTTGATTTGCACTGTTAGCTCGGCTAAGCCTGTCTATCTGGACTCTACCTCAACCCGTCGCATACTTCTGGAGTATTTGTGATGTTTCCGGTGTAATAGCTCATGGTACCATATGCGATCGTACCCGCGACCGACCGGATCGAATCTGCACGATGATTAGTTAGGTGGTACAAACAACACATTAGACTAATCAGTGTCGCTGTATAATATACGTACCTGGGTTATTAATATTAAGGTCCTTTGGGGATACAAACATCGCGGCTAACGTGGCGCGTGCGGGACTTTGGGGCATTGACCGTAGTAGGTATTGGCGAAGTGATTAAGCTACTTGACAAACCTGAGGTGTTGATAAAGGAAAGATACGTGTCGTGAACTATGATTCGTGAGAGCGAGACTGAAAACTCGAGCCCTTTATAGAATAAAACTGGTAGGGAATGATTATCATGTAGGCTACACTGTAGCCGACCATATGAATTCGGGGGAAGACGAAGAGAATCCGCAGGTTTGAAATCTAAGCAACAGCAAAATAAAGGGTAAAGTGCTCTGAAGGGCGTTAAAAATGGGAGATGGAAGGAAAGGAAAAGTATGAGAATATAAGAGGGCGGGGAGGATCAAGAAATAAGGTCGCTGGGAGCAAGAATGGAAGTAAAAAGACACGGCAGGACATGTTGCACAAGCGAGTAACGGAGACCAAGAGAGAAAGAGGGAAACTTTCCTTCTATAAGATGGATGATCCATGTCGTCATGGGGAATTATATAAAATTTCGGGTTGCGGCTACCAGATAGATACACTACCTAATCTAATGTATGGCCGGCGTTGTGGTGACGTGGAAGTCGTATATTGCCGGCCGTGTCGAGGAGGCACAGAATGTCTTAACCTAATTGCTGCTGACCGACAGTGCAACCTTTGGGAGGTTATATGGACTTAATGTATTGATACACAATGATTAAAATATCTGACAATGACTTAATTAGATACCTACGTAATGAACAACAGTGGAAGGTTGGCGAGAGACCGATCGGTTGTTCGGACGGAGGGTTTCAAACGTGCCGGAGTCGCGCAATCACCTGTTCCCATAAATCGGCAACGTATCCGTATTACTGCGATGCGAGATACATACCTACTTCTAGACAGGCAGCATCTGTAAATTAATTTCCATCGGTTGTCCCTCAAGTCACGGTAAGGAGGGCGATGGGCTGAGCTTCCGTGCAGGCACACTTCGTGTCATCATGCGATACGGTACCTGCCTTTAGGCCTTACACACGAGAGGAAACTGGAAGTTCCTATTGGGGATTGAAGCAGAGAAGATATCTGAAGCGATGACACGCGTTGCAAACAAATAGGCACACCGCACGCATAGATAGGTCACAGGCGACTAGTTTGCTATACGCATGACAGCCACTATGTCTCTTATAGTCAAGATGGCTGAAGCTCTTCTCTCTGTGTCGGCGCCGCTCCCCCCCCTCTCGTTAGCTGCCTATGGTAGTCAAGGCTTTGGTAAGCGCCCACTGTCTGCGTATTGAGCCATTGAAGAAAAAATTATGAATGGGGAAAACCGGAAACAGGGGCTCTTGAGCTAAGTAGGGGTTCGGACACAACATGAGGTTGGACTCTAGAAAGGAGAAAAAAAAGGAGTACGAAAAATGAAGGTACAGGTGGAATTGAACCACCAATGTTGGACTCGCGGGGAATCGAACCCCGGACCACTCCCAATTTTCACCGGGCCGTGAGCCGCAGATGCTAAGGGAGTATTATACCACTAAACCACAAGCCCAATGAGGCTGAGAAGCTCGTGATGGCGTCCCGGCTAATCGCTGCATCCATGTTTGGCGTCTGGGTATGGAGAAGACGCGGTAGAAAATACCGGCATTGGTTGAATAATGTGCATTGCCCTAACAAGGTTACCCTTCAGCGCTTACCTACCTCTAGTTAGACAATGCAAGGTACTTCCAGTTAGGGGCTTCGGGCCCACTGCTAGCGCTGTTGGAATGCTGGGATCATGCAATTAGAGAAGAAGAACTTGGAATACCGACTGGCCCCTGATTCGATAACAGGCGCATGTCACTTGTAGACATCAAAGACTGCTCAGCTTACAGGTTACAGCGCGGTAGGTCCTCGTACCTCACACCGATTTATCATTGAATCTATATAAGCAAAAAAACTAAAAAAGCCAACTTAATCCAAGTATAACTACTAGCTTGCCCGGTCGCGTTCGAGATCGATATCGGCCAACGCCACAAACTTCGTGCGGAAGACGATCTTGTGTCCTAGATAGAGGACAAAGAACAAGATAAGGCTGATGTAGGCCGCGAAGAACTCGCTGGTGTCCCACCGGATGAAGGCCGTAAATCCGTTCGTAAAGAGGATGAGCACGCAGAAGAAGAGCCCATAGATGGTCAGGTAGGGTTGCATCGGCGCTTTGAAGGCGAGCATATCCCGCGACATGCCCCGGGATCGCAGGGCCTTCATGAAGATCAAGTGACAGATGCTGATGCAGCACCAGCTGATAAAGCCGGCTATGCCCGTGATGTTCAGCAGCCAGTCGAAGACTTGGCCTCCGCCAGACGATAGGTTTAGGAAAGCCAGTAGCCCGATGAGTGAGGAGAAGCCGACGGCCCAGTGGGGTGTCCCAAAGCGGTTCGTCCGCATCAGAAATGCGGGCGCATGTCCTTCGCCGGCCAGTGCAACCACTATTCGGCTACTTGAGTACAAGTTCGAGTTCGCAGCCGACAACACCGCGGTGAGGAGGACAGCGTTGATGATGTGCGGGAGGACAGGCACACCGGCCAGTTTGGCGGCAAGGACGAGAGGCGATGCCGATGCGTCGTTGGCGTTGGAGAGAAGATTCGGGTTATCTGAGGGCACTGTGATGCCGATGAAGAAGATGGTAGCCACGAAAAGCGTGAAGACGCCCCAGAAAGTCCAGCGGATGGCCGACGGCACGCTCTTCGAAGGGTTTTCCGTCTCGCCTGCACCGACACCCACGAGCTCAGTGCCCTGGTATGAGAACCCCGCAGTTACTAGGACAGACCAGAACCCGACGAACTTGCCAGTATGTCCAGGCACGATATACTCGGCGAAGGGGCCCGGGTGGACCCAGGCATCGAACCCAAGGTAGCCTTGTTGACCGGCACCGGCATCGATGCAGATGGCGAATATGATAAAGCCGACAATGGTGATGACCTTGATGGACACGAAGTACGATTCGAACTCTCCGAACCAGCGAACGGGAAGAAAGTTGCAAGCGGTGAAGGCAACCCAAAATATGGCGATGAAGATGCCGACGTTCAGGGTCTTATCCCAGTACTGGATGACCAGCCCCGAGCCGACCAGCTCAAGCGCATACGTTGTCGACCAGCTGAACCAGTATATCCACCCCATGGAAAAACCGAGCGACGGGTCGGCGAATCGCGATGCGTAGGCCGTGAACGATCCGGCGACGGGCATGAAGGTAGCCATCTCGCCCAAGCTTACCATGATCGAATAGACGATGGAGCCGACGAAGAGGAAAGCGATCAAGCACCCGACGGGTCCAGCCGCCGCGAGGGCTTTCCCGCTACCCAGGAACTACGACGCGTTAGAAAACAAGGGGGACGCTCCATCGGGGGTGACAAGCAGGTGCTTACGAGTCCTGTGCCGACGGCACTCCCTATGGCGATGAACTGGAGGTGCCAACTGGTCAGGCCACGCTGGAGGCCCTCGCCCACGGCCAGGTCCTTCTGCGAGCCATCGAGCGAGACAGTCTGCGCCCCGTCCGGCACCTTCTTCTCGGATTCGCCAGCGGGTGCCTCCATGGCTCGGTGAGGGGGCTCGCCGAAGGGGGAGGCCAGAACAGTGGGATGCGAAGCCATTCACAGACGCGGTGAGCGAGCCTTGTTGCGACGTGGGAAAGCAGGCGGCGGAGCAGCTTTGACACATAAGAACCGCAGGGAGCGGGCGAGTGACGAGTGACGACGAATAAATGGAATGGGACGTACGTACGCCGGCACTGACAGACAGACATATGGACGTGCGTATCCGCCTGGCCTGTGGGCTCGCACCGTCCTATTCGCTACCTATGGGGTCGAGAGGAGCTCGCACGCCATCACCGAGAAAATTATTTGCACGCGGGCTATGCCGCCGCAGTACGCGACTAATGGCAAGGACACTGTGGGATGCTGTGGGATGCTGTGGCGGCGGAGGTTCGGAGAGAGGTCGGCGCCAGACTTGTCACTCGAGCCCTCCATCGGCGGCTGGCCTATCGCCCTGGTGCCATGCTAGACCGGGCTTCTCGCCGCCAAGACGGCATCAAGTCGAGAAAAACTCCACCGAAAACTCTGTGTCGCCCCTTGATCCACGTCGAGCCGCGGCTTAGCAGCCAATCAGTGGGCGTGCTTGACTAATGGAATTGCCCTTCTGGGTAGTAACCTTCGGGGATAATGCTTTCTCTGCATCAACACGGGCACCAGGCACGAGCATCTGGCTGGTATGTATGCGGCCAGCCCCGACCGAGATAACATTTGCATTACATGGAGAATGATGTAACAACGTCCGAGGGGTCGACGATGATGGCACCACCGACGACGGCCCCCCAACGAACGGGCTTTGTCTTCTACCTGGTTCTGTCAAGATAGTGGGTATAGGTATAGGTATAGCTCATAGCTCATAGCCCATAGCTCATAGCCTTTCCTCAATACTTCCATCCGTCCACAGCCGGATTCCAGAACACGCCGTGAGGATCCCATTGCTGTTTTCGTTTTCTCATGGTCTCTATCTTCTCCCGTGTTAGGATTTCCGTCATGTCCCCACCAACCCTCCCGTTACCTGCTAGAGTGGCGTTGGGCACTCCATTGGCAGAGTCCTCGCTGCGCGCGATCTGGAGGATGTCTCGTCCGTATTGCCGTCCAGCCTCTATGTACTCATCTGCGAGATCCCACGGTACCGTCTGCACCATAAAATTACGGTCTCGGTGGCACATCCAACTCTCCTGGCCTTCGCTCGCCCTCACCAACGCGTCTGGGTGCATTGAGGTCAGGGCAGTCATGCATCGCGAAATATTGTAGCCGTACGTATCGACAAACTCGGCAAATCTATTCGCGATACGTAAAAGTGTCGCCCCGGAGAGCTCTTTTACGAGGCCATTGAAGCAGTCCATATTGGACCCTTGTGTCATCTTTCCGTCTCTCTGAGCATTCATGCTAGCCAGCTCAAAAGATCCGGGCTTGACCACGACAGCCTTTCCCTTGATCAACGGGTCATTCCAGGGCGCAAACGCTTCGTCTGCTTCCTCTTGCGGTCCGAGGTAGGATGCCTGTGCGACGAGAATAGGCTGCCCGGGGTTCGGCGTCCCTGGTGGTGCGGCTATCAACACGAATCCGGTGTTCACTTGAACGGGGGCTCGTGAGAGCACCTCCCACAGCCTGGCTGCTGCCCCGAAGTTGTCCCGCGAAAACATGGCCATGATATCTGGAACTCTGGAATCCTCGGCCAGACCGAGCTCTGCTGTGGGATAGATGCGCATAGTCATCGACAGGATCACTCCAAATCCCGCGCCGGCCCCCCGAAGCTGGTTGAAAAGCTCCTTCTCGGCGCCTTGAGATGTCTCGGCGACCTCGATTATATCGCCTTGTCCGGTGACTAATTGTGCGCTGACGAGATTATCGCATGTGTGGCCTCTGATCACTTGAAACAGATTGAGGCCGCCTCCCAGGATATTACCAACAATGCCAACGGCCCCAAGGTTCGGCCAACCTAACTCTACATCAGCACGCCATTCGAGCTTTGCCGATCCGTGCCTTCAAAGGTGTGGATGGAAGGGGTGTACCTGTATAATACCCCTTTTCGATCATAGTAGGCTATCCACGGCATTAGAATCAGCAATTGCCGTATACGGTAGAGGGTCGCAGGAGCAGAATGGTAAGGTAATTCGTCCAGCGACTAACCTGAAGGTCCCTTGTCAGAGTGCCGCCGCCAAATGTCACAGTTTGCGCCTCGGTGTTCACATCTACAGAGCGAAACTTGCCCATGTCTAGGCAGATTGTCTTGTTGTTGGTGATGACGAGCCCGCCACAGCCACCGCATTGCGGCAAGACCTTTAGCCCGTTCGCAGCTGCATACTGCACGACGGCTACAACGTCTTCTTTGGTTGACGGCACGACGATCGCAGCGGGCGGTGTCGACGGCCCCATCGTCAACCACCGCCTCAAAAACGAGTGGACAGTGTCATGCTTGCGGGGAGTCGAGACTGTGCAGGTCGGCGGGAGAGCTACCTGAATGCCTGAAGCCGCGAATGCCCCCATGGCTCTGTGTATTAGGCTTTCGTTTAGTATAGAAGCACGGCTACAGGTAGGCCCCGAGGCGATCTCTTTCGACCGCCCTTTTTACAGGCTTCTACATACCGTTGCCGCTCATCCGCTAAGATTGCTAGAATTAGAGAGTGTAGCGTACCTGGCTCGGCTCGGCTTCGCTTCTGCTTTCACACTTGGGCCGGTGCTCGCCAAGGTTGCTGAAGCTTATCCTGGGGTGCCACACTTGCAACAGGAGAGCAGTATGGCAGTATGGCAGTATGGCAGTATGGCAGTAGGCCGATGTTGTAGAAGAGATGGGGCGGCTGTCTTGGGTGCACGCAGTCCACCGTGAGGGGTCATTGTTTAGAGGTAGATATTTGCCCTTTGTATCTTGGTACCTCACAAACCTGCTTTTATCTGGCTGTTGAAAATGGTAGGGGGCACGCACATATAGACCTCTACCTGGAAGTAAGCTGTCTTCAGGCGGTTGGCGCATGTAGAAATACCT